GAACGCCGGCAGAAGTCCTGCAGCAGAGTGGGGGCGCGGGAGGATCTCCAGTTTATTGCACTGAATGCCGCATACACGATTACCTGCCTCGTGGGCAGGTGGCAAACATGTGCATTCAGTGCAGGTAGCTCATGGCCTTCAGAGACCAACTATGGGCTCTGGAGACCGGAGGGGCTGAACTGGGGGAGCGAAGGGAGACAGAGAGGTGCACCGAGGAGACTTTCAGGGACACGGCAGAGCAGCCCCATCCCCACTCTGACAACCGCTGGGCTGTTGAGAAGGATGAATGTCTTGGAAGGAGAACGTCAAGCTGGAATGGAGGAAAACAATCTCATAGTTGGGACCTTCCTTCCAGATGGTGTCACGGTGTCCTTGCATTGAAGATGTCCCTCCAGAGGAGGGGACCCCAGTTATTGGGAAGAGACGGGTAATAGTCATGGGGCTTTGGTTATTAGAAACATAGCTGGGTTTGTGATGGCCAGGAAAACCACATGGCGAATTGCCTGCCGCGTGTGAAGGTTGCAGGCCTCTTAAGACATCTAAACATACTTGTGTGCAGTGCTGGGGAGGAACAGCTTGTCATGGCCAAGACCATAACAGGCTTCAAAAAAGAACTAGATAAATTCATGGAGGACAGATCCATCAATGGTTATTGGCAGGGATGGTGTCCCTAGCCTCCGTTTGCCAGAAGCTGGGAATGGGCGACAGGGGATGGATCACTTGATGATTCCCTGTTCTGTTCGTTCCCTCTGGGGCACCTGGCACTGGCTACTGTTGGAAGACGGGATACTGAGCTAGATGGACCTTTGGTTTGACCCTGTAAGGTCATTCTTATGTTCTTATGGTACACATATGTATCCATGACATAGGGAAAGGTGGTAGAGAGGTCATGGGAGGCTAAAATTAGGCTGCTAGGTAAGAGATGAAAGTCCAGGACCTCCATGGTAGCAGTCTCTGAAATGCTTCCAGTTCCAGAGCAGAACTGCAGTATCTCACTATGTGGATGAGACATTGGTGTAGGGAGGAGGGTTTTAGGTTTATTAGGAACTGGGGGGCCTTTTGGAAAGGGGAACCCTACACGGGAAGGATGGGCTCCACCTAAACCAAAACGGAACCAGGTTGCTGGCATGTAAAATTAAAAAGGTCGTTGAGTTTTTAAACTAAGGGTTGGGGGAAAGCCAACAGGTACGGAGGAGCACACAGTTTGGACAGACTTCCTGGGGGGGGCGGGCAGGACTTATTAAGGGGGATTCTCTAAATCCTGGTAAAGAGGGAGAATAGAAGTTGATAAGGTGGGAGCTGAAGAAAAAACAGTCAGACCAAAAAAGAGTCCTATTCACTTATATCCCATCAAGGCAGACAACTAGGTATTGACAAATTTATCAGTGCTTGTATACAAATGCAATAAGACTAAATACCAAGACAGGTGAACTTGAGTGCCTGGGGTTAAATGAGGATATTGATATAACGGGCATCACAGAAACTTGGTAATCAATGGGACACGGTCATAGAATCATAGAATATCAGGGTTGGAAGGGACCTCAGGAGGTCATCTAGTCCAACCCCCTGCTCAAAGCAGGACCAATCCCCAGACAGATTTTTACCCCAGTTCCCTAAATGGCCCCCTCAAGGATTGAACTCACAACCCTGGGTTTAGCAGGCCAATGCTCAAACCACTGAGCTATCCCTCCCCCCATACCAAGGTACAACATATATCAGAATGACAGAGCAGGTCGTGCTGGTGGGGGAGTGGCACTGTATGTGAAAGAAAACAGGCAAATATAGTAAAAATCTTAAATAAATCAAACTGTCCCATGGAATCTCTCTGGATGGAAATTCCATGCTTAAACAATAAGAGCGTAGCAGTAGGACTGTACTACCGACCCCCTGACCAGGAGGGTGGGGGTGATTAGAGAGGCTGCGAAAACCCAATATGATCTGGAAAAAAGGGTGACCAGTGAGGTGGCAAAATGTGCTGATGTTACAAAATTACTTAAGATCGTTCAGTCCAAAGCTGACAGTGAAGAGTAGCAAAGGATCTCACAAAACTGGGTGACTGGGCAACAAAACGGCAGATGAAATTCAATGGTGATAAATGCAAAGTAACGCACATTGGAAAACATAATCCCAACTCTACGTATAAAATGATGGGGTCTAAACTGGCTGTTACCACTCAAAAAAGATCTTGGAGTCATTGTGGATAGTTCTCTGAAAACAGCCACTCAGTGTTTCAATCCTTCTACCTCCTGATTTGGAATATCTTCGGTTACATGTTTTGTCCTCCGTTCCCTCTATGGCAGGTGGATCTCTACTCTCGCCCTCCAGCATCTGGCTGTGTTGGAGAGCTTGAGCCCAGGTGGAGGCGTTCTCCCGTCTCCAGTGTGCACTCCGTAGGAGTAGCCTGCCCCCATGTGTCGGCATACGCACACTGCTGGGTGGGGTTTAACTAGTGATGTACTCTGATGGAAGGCTCCCAGAGCAAACTCCGTCTCCAAGAGTCTCCCTTCTTATTCCCTGCACGCAGAGTGTGAATGTTTATCCGAGCTGCCTTGTGGCGTGACGCCAAAAGCCACCAGCTGAGCTGCTTCTGCAGTGGGGTTTTGTCACTTCTGTGCAAATCGGATGTTCCACCGAACCCTGGAGCTGAGCTGCGCTATAGATAGAAAGGGGCCTGAGAGGTAGTGTACCCGCCACCCGTAGCGCCCCCTTGTGTCAGGGTGCGATGCTGCAAGGAGCACTGCTCTCCGGCGACTCATGCTGACCGCTTGCCTCTCGCTGGGTCTTCCAGGGGTCGGCCGTCCAGCCAAGTCCAAAGTTCGGTCCCTTCCGGAGTAACAGAAAGGTCCACGTGAAAATCCTAACAAATCCAAGTAGTTGTTTTTCCTCTGCCCGTCGTGGGCCAAACTAATAGCTACTTCTGCAGCCGGATTGCCCATGCTGGCTCCCTCCTGCAGGGTCTCTGACAGTTTGCCCTGGGGTCGCCCTGCTCCCCCTTAGGAACCCTGTTTCAGGACTTCCCCCCCATAGGAGTCTACTGAACTCCCCATGGGTTTCTTCTCGCAGACCTCTCCTTCCTTTCCCTTCCCAGGAGCCGGTTTCCCCCTCTAGGACTCCGTGGGCTGGAAGCCAACGCCCTCTCCCCCCAGAGCCTGATGACCGGAGCCGTGCCACTGTCCTCCTTCCTGGGGGACTCTGGCAGTTCTCTTTGAGTCTCACTGTGCACCCTGAGCCCTCATTCACAGAGGCCTGTTCTGTCTTCTGTGGGCTCCTTCCAGCCTGCAGCAGCTGCTGGGCCTCGCTAGAGACCTCCTTTGCTCCTCCTTTATACAGCTCGAGCAGCCTCTTTCTAGCTCCGCGGCTCCCTTAGCAATTAGCTAAAGGGCTGCCGCTTGGAGCACTCGAGTGCTCCCAGGTGTAGCCCTCAGGGTCGTCATTGGACCAGTTGGGCCCTCGTTCGCGTGAAGAGCCGCTGATCCCATGGATGGTCCATTTGGGCTTCGCTGCGGCACAGATAGAAGACAGGAGCGGCAGCCTATGCTCCACTGAGCTGCAGGTCCTTAGCGCCTTTTGAGAATCAGGCTGGCTGTTTAGGACCCCAGCTTTGAAACCTGTGTCCTGACGATGTGACTTGACCAAAGCCCACCCGACAGGTTGGTGGCAGAGCCAAAGATGAAGCCCAGGAGTCCTGGCTCCTCGGCAGCTACTCTTGCCACTAGAGCCGTGGTTCTCAAACTAGGGCCGCCGCTTGTTCAGGGAAAGCCCCTGGCGGGCCGGGCC